ACCGAGTATTACAAGATGTTGTAGAAAGCAAAGGATTTACTATCAAATTAAATCTGTACTTTCTCGTCGGTCCTTTCTATTCTAGCATTCTCATTAAGAATTCTACCAACGGCCCTAGTAGGTATCTATTTTCTGTGAAATTTTGAGATTGTGGATAATAAAACTATGGTTTCTAAATTCTGCTGCATTTACGTTTGTGCAATTAACGTTTAATTCCTTTTAGCTAAAACGATAAATAAATAGTGATTGAAACACTTTGACATTTTTAGAAGTGGTTAGTTTTTAAAATGAAAATTCATTTATCTCATTTTCTCTCATTAACTAAGGTAGTTTGCAGTGGGTAAAAAATTCCACAAATGAATTTTCGTATTAATATTTCATAATTAGCTATTGCTTACTAAAAAACGAATGTAATTTATGCGATGTTCTTCGGAATTAAATCTTACAATTTTTGCATTTACGAGTATTTTCCTTTATAAATAAATAAACCAGAGACTATGCTTGTAAACCTTAAAATGAGTTATTCATTCATTCTATTCCAATAGGTGAAAAATTGCACAGGCACTTCCTTCTCAACAAGCGGCTTAATTTACACCAAAAGCTCCTGAATTTACTGAAGCCTAAAACTTCTTTAGTCAAGTCGTTTATTAATTCTTTCTTAAAGACAATTTGCTCTTGTCATTCGTTCTTCCAATTATCTTTAATAGTCGAGGAATCATTCAAGTGCGGCTCATTTTGAATTGGTTTTCGTGACTTGAACCTTGTCGACGGTAATGAACTTAAAAGGCTTTTCAAATTGGTAAATACTTTTGAAAAGTGAATTTCAGCTCATTCACATTTTAAAGGGAATTGGATAAGGGAGAAGGTGCAATAGTTAGTGACGCGGCGTAGTTAATCTTTTTCCTGCTTATATACTTTTGTATTTACATTCACCTGATATAGGTAATTGCGGATTTAGTCATTTGAACAGGAATTTTACGTTTACTATACCTTTACGTGGGAAATCATATTTATACAGACGTCAGGTTTTACCTTCGTCTAAATTCGCCCTTCCTCTTCTTTGCCGCTGATAACGTGAGTACTATAAATTTCAAGTTGGGTTTTACCAGCGGGTTCGCTCTCGCTGATGTTCTAAATACATGTCAAAGAGAGATCAGATAAAACAATTTTGCTATCCCTCGGGAATAGTATTTTTTTTAATGAAAGGTACCCTATGTCCTCTTCTGTACCCCTTGTAACGTGTATACAAAATTTCATGATAGGTTTTAGCAGCGGCTTCGTTCGTGTTGATGTCCTAATTAGGTACGTCTCAAAAATCATCGACGACCACATACAACTAATTTTTTCTATATCTTGGAAACAGTATTTTTTTTCTGGATAAAAAGGTCCGTATATCCTTTCCTATACCCCTGACAATGTGTGTACAAAGACAAAAACTTGAGAATACAAAAATCGATTAATTAAAATGGTCAATTGAATTATCATATATAGCAATTTAGCTATGATTGTAGGAGCCCTGATGCCTCATTGAAATTGGGTCAATTAGGTATAATATATGTATGTTGTTTTTGAAATCTCGTATTATTATTATTACTAGTAACAACGTAAATTTGTTAAATAAAAAACTCTGAAAGAATACTTTGAATTTGATATACCACCACCGAAATACGTAAAGTCGAAACTACTTAGGGGATATTTTTACTACCTTTTTAATCTGTAAATTACGAAAACCGAATTATATTTTCACTAATTTTAATATTAATAATCCCTTTTCTAAATTTATCAAAAAGAAAAAAAAATAAAAGGATCGAAATCGGTAGTTTATCTGTTATATTGTCACACATTGCATTTGGACAAATAGAAAGATCTTTCGGTTAAAGTTTCCAAGAACATACAAGATCTTTTACGCTTGACAAAGCATGTAAAATGTTCATAAACTTTTAATATGCCATCAACGTAAAAACTAATAATGACAATTATTCAGATTTTTAGCTTATAGTACTTCGTTTATTTCGTTACGAATTGTAACATTATTGTCCGATTTCATCAAAGCGATGCTACGACAATGTTACTACCGTAATCGTTATAAAAACAATGCAAAGCAAAAGGTTAAGGTAGTAACAGTTTTGTTTTTAATGATGGGTCGTTTGTAATTTTATTGGTTGTAAAAATGAACGGTTAGGTAAAACCGCTTGTTTGGCATTCAACATTTAAGTTTTGTATCCTCACTACTGCTTCACGGTTCAGGAACTGTTACATACTATTTGGTTTTAGGACAGTCTTATTATTAGACATTCACAAGAACAGCGTTTTAAAGGCTACCGAAGTGAATATTGTGCTATTGTTCTTTGTTTATGATTCTCAAAGTGATATAATAATAATAAATAGTAAAATCAGTAATCCTTGATGCATGTGGAATAGTACGCAAATTTTTTAACAGTACTGACATATTCCCCTTTCCAGAAAACACAACAGAAGCGGAATTTTTAATAATTACCGATCATATTTCAGGGCAAGAAGTAGTGTTAGCTCTATAAAATTTAAGAACAGAAAATTCGTTTCCATATCATAACCCAAAAGATGTGAGTGAGATTCTTTGGCATTAGCCCGTCTTCACTTGCTCAAAGTTAACCAGTGAAAACTGAGAAGACCGGTAGATAATAATAATAAATAATAATAGTAGGGTTGCCTTTTCTCCAGATTTGATCCGAAAATCCTCGAAACTGTACGACTTCTCCCGCAAATTGCAGATTTTTGTAAAAATAAAAATAACGTGTGGATATGCCTATTGACAAAAAATGATTTCATATATTGAACTTCCTTTAATCGAGCGAATTGGTGAAGATAGTTGGTAAAGTAATGTCAATACCTGTAAGTAATGCGTTTGTTGAGAGATTTTTTTCAATTATGAATAACTTATGGACCGAAGAGAGAAATAATCTAGGTGTATCCATTGTAAAGGTCGAGTTATGTGTGAAAATAAACTATAAGATGAATTGTAATGAGTTTATCAGTAATTGTAAATTTGAAAACACATTCATAAATTATGTTTGTATGTATAAATTATTATGTTTGTTTGTATGTATGTGTGTATGTATGGAGGAGAATAAGTATATCTCCGTACTATGTGACATTTTGAGGTCGCAGCCCTAAATAATCATCATCATCATTATCATAGGGTCCTCAGCCCTAAGACTGGTAGGACACGTACCTCCACTCTTTCCTATCCTAAGCCAAACTTCGCATTTCCCCAAAACTAGAACAACCCATATCCTTAACTATTGGTGAACAGTAATCTAACCTAGGTCTACCTCTACCCCTCCTACTTCTTGTTTCTTCCTCTTATATGTCTCTGACTAAACCTTCATGCCTGAGAAGGTGTCCTACCAACCTATCTCGCCTATTTTTTATTGACTTCCATAGAGTCCTCTGTTCTCCTATTCTTTCTAATACCTCTTCATTCCTAACCTTTTCTACCCACGTTATCCTCATCATTTGTCTATAACACCACATTTCGAACGCTTCTAACCTTTTCCTTTCCGCCATGTGTCGCACCCGAACAACGCCGCGCTCCAAACATACACCTTTAACAACCTTTTTCTAAATAATAACAACAAAATAACATACTCATAATAGTATTAGCGTCTGTCAAGGAGGAGTCAAAGAGAATCGATATTGACAACGAATAACGAACAAAAAAGACAAAAACCAAAAATATTAGTAGGTTAAGAAGGCGAAAGGATAGTTGAAGCTAATGATAGATTTGCCTATAGGTCGTATATGTCTTCATAGAAAAATCTCGCTTTCTCCCATTATTCCAGTGCTTCAGAAGTAGGGATCTACGATTGATGATTCATGTCTTCGTTCTGGGTGCCTTTCCATTAAATAACACCCTCACTAACGTCCACATTAAGTCCCATTGATAAAGTCGTTTAAAAACTAAACAAATGAAATTTTAATTCCCGGTTGACGAATTTTCAAACGAGCTCATAATGTTAATAAACACTAAAAACCGTTAATCAAAACATGATGTACCAACAAACTACAGAAATTGTAACAGTTCGGTCATATCGAAATAACAAATAATTTAATTCATTAGGATAGTTTTCGAGAAAGACGAGGGGTGACTCGGGGTAGAAAAGGGTGTAGAAGTGTTTCCATCAAGCAGTCTTCGGACTGTTGACTTCTTAATAGGAAAAATGGGTTAAATTATCGATAATAATAACAAACTATTTTCAAAGAAGATTTTTAATTTATAGAATGTCGTTTTTCTTTTTAGGGTTCCGTACGTCCGATTGAAATATTGAACCCTTATAGGATCATTCGTGATTCTGTCTGTCCGTTTTTTTTTCATAATGTGCTCTTACATTTATCATTTCCTTTAGTGAATTCTAAGCTTGCATAAAGATGTCCAATCGGTATTCTGGTTATATTAGATATGGGTTTTTTCCTATTCCTTGGACCTTTTTACATGCCGTGTTTATGATGGCCATAATGCGTTCCTACCTATTTCACATTTCTTAGAAAATATAGCTCGAAACAAACAGAGTTTCTGAATAAGCCTCGAAACGAGCAAGGTTATAGGAAAAAAATACTTTGAACGTAGGTGTAATAACAGAAATGACCGCGAACTTCTAAAAATAAATTGATAACCTTAAGTATGCATCTACATTCGTATGGGACTCAAATACCACATGGAAAACATCTATTTACGACTTCGACGAAAAGTACATTCGAACTTCATAACAAAACCGAAATAATCTTCTAATTTCAATAGTTGATGACTATTCACACGTCTTATGATTCGTTTTCACTTTTCGACTTGGAAACACCTAAAATAGAAACACTTATATTTTAGGAACAGTGAAAGTTAAACTGTTCTTGTATATGCATGTACAAAAGTCACGTAAAATTTATTTTGAGAACAATAAATTATTGGATTTATTATTTCCCAATTCAGATTTGATTGTATGATTGCAATTTAAATTTTTGCATTCCAGACTGGAGCCAAGAGTCGGTTTCGAAGGCTGAAATCCTCAGGCTCATTTACCAAGGTAGATTTCTTCATAGCAACGTGACATTAGGAGCACTTGGATTACCATTTGGAAAGACGACAGTTATGCACCTCGTGCCAAGAGAAAATCTTCCAGAACCAAACTCGCAGGGTAAGTCCCTTTTTTCATTTTACTTAAAATCTGTACAATTTATTGTCGACTTGCTCATCTTCTTTCGATCTGCCTATAGCAGACTACTTTAGAGTATGCATTAAGCAACTAATTTTTAAGGAATTTGGTCACCCGGGTCTTAGCACAACTCAAAAATTAAAAATAACGCAAAAAAACTAAAGTTTTTGAGAGTTCACTTAGTTTAGGATAGTTTTAGAGAAGCGGGCGACATGTCGAGATGGGCGTGGTTGAAAAACAATATTATCCAACACGTTCGCCAAATTATACATTTTCGCTTGTGCGAATGAAAAAGAAATGTATAATTTCAATGTTCAGTAAACATTTTACCTTATCTGTAGGAATATAATAGATATAGAGGTAGTTCAGAATGTGATGACCCTTGACCTTAGACTGCCTAGTGACATAGCTGGTCCCTTTCACTAATATTTACGTTGGCCATCATTTTCTACAGTTAATTTGCAACTCCATCCCTAGGCACATGGTTAATAGCCGAATAGTCGAAGTTTTCCGCCTCTCGCGCATGTAAAGGTTAATGAAATTTTAAACTAGCTATAGGAACTTACATTACGTAGTTATACATGAAAACAAATTGAAACATTTGTTAAAATATGCAAGTCGTAAACTGTGCAGCAGTAATAAGGAACGAACAGACGAGTTTCAGGACCTATCTCATCAGAAGCTAACGTTCATTTTATATTGAACCTTCGAATTTATGTTTTCCTATGAAGGTTGAAGCACCCGCTACTAGTATTAAGGAAACCGTAGTACTTTAGTGCCACATTAATATTATTTATTCCGATGTTCTTCTTACTTTGTGAAAGTGTTTTGTTAAAGACGTTTGTTTTAAAAACTATAAAGCAAATAACATGGTAGAATTTAATAAATAATATGAAACAATAATAAATGAGCTACACACAGAGTAGGATCAAAGAGTAGTAGTATTCAATTAATTTAAATTTTTTGTTGTACTAATCGGTAGAAGTCCTTAGTAGTCCTCAAAATAGTACCCTTATGCTTCGACACAACGCCTATAATGCGATTCCCACTGCGCGTAGGCCTTCTGGGACTCGCTTTCCGGAATCCCCTTCAGAAATGTCGTCACGGTCCTATAGACTTTTTTTACGGAGCTATATTGGTTTTCCTTGAGTCGAGGAAAGAGGAAGAAGTCCAACGGTGCCAGATCTGGACTGTAGGGGGATGACGCAACTCTGCGCTTGGTCCAAAATCTCTAATAATTTCGAGGATCTCTGCGTTGCTCGAGATTTTTCTCCATTCTGAGTCGCGACGATACTTCTTTACAGGGAAGTAAGAAGATTGAAAAAAATTTGGCGGTTGTTGTAGAACAAACAGAATAGCTCAAAACCCCAACGCCAAAACACGACACTGTAGTTGTCCGAAGCACTTTTCGGTAACAAAGTTACCTTCTTCAGGGACTGAAGTAAACTAAAACTAAATGAGAACTAACCCTAATTTATACTGATAGTTGTTAAGGTTCAGTGAACATGACCCATTGCCAACAAAGTAGGTGTTCAATGGACTTTTGGTTTTTGTAAATTGACGTGCTTGCTTCCGTTTGCCCACAGGCGACTGGAAAAAATATCGGTCTCAATAAGACTCCGTACTACCATACCCAGGTGGTCCGACACCCTCCACTACTCCGTTCGCCCAACAGAAATTCAGTCCTACTAATTTTTTATCCTATCCTGTATTTATTTTCTTCTTCCTGTAATATTTCATACGCTTAGCTTTATATGTGCATTTAGAGGTACTAAAAATGTCGAAAGTTTAGGAAAGAGTCAAAATGTTATGGTATTTTAAAAGTTAGTAGTTTAAAGTTTCCTTGTCATATTTCGATTTGGAAACTAATAAGTATGAGGAAGTTTTATAAGCGTGCACAAGTTTTCTGAAAGTTCCGTTTGGAGTCATGCACGGCGCTTTTTAGTCGTTTGTGTGCAACGAATAGAAAAATGAAGAAAAACAATTTCCGTCTGATGTGTACGTTACACTTAATTTGTTGAAACTCGTGAGACGAATAGTTGCAAGCTTGAGAAACTCCGGCTGTGTTAATAATAAGAGTCCCTTACAGTGCCTTGGGGGGCTTTAAAGTATTACGTGTAAGAAGACTTTAAAGGAGTTTAGACCCTCCTCTCTCCCGTACAAGCGAAAATAGGAAAATCGTGAACCCACCTCCCCAAAATGCTAATGTAAGAATTTTTTATAAACTTTTAGTAACTGTTAAAATTCAAATTGAAGATTCATCTTTTGTACTGTCTTCCCCAATGTTGAATTAGAACTGTTTTAATGAAAATACTCTTATTTTCTTTTTGAGTTTTATCTAAATTTTTTCCTTTTCTTTCTTGCAGATCTCTTTATTTATTTTTCATAATTTTCTTTCCATTTTTCCAGATTCTCTTCCTGTAGCTCTTCCAATTATTTGTTTAACACATACAGTTTATCTACTTCACTTTTTCTTTTTTTATTTTCCTCGTCGCTTCTTTATTTAGTTAACCGGCTTTTATCGTATCTTTTCCTTCTTCCTTATATTTTACTTATTTCTTCCGTAAGTTTAACTCACTTATTATTGTTTCTTGTTCCTTCAATATTTGCCTTTAATTTAATTCATCATCATCATAAGGTCAACAGTCCTAAGACTGCTTGGACACGTACCTCCACTCTTTCCTATCCTGAGCTAAACTTCGCATTTCCCTAAAACTAGAACAGCCCACATCCTTAACAATTTGCGAACAGTAATCTAATCTAGGTCTACCTCTACCCCTCCTAACTCCTGTTTCTGCCTCTAATATGTCTCTGACTAGACCTTCATGCCTAAGAAGGTGTCCTACCAACCTATCTCGCCTATTTTTTATTGACTTCCATCCTCTGTTCTCCTATTCTTTCCAATACCTCTTCATTTCTAACCTTTTCTACCCACAATATCCTCATCCTCCGCCTATAATACCACATCACGCTTCCGCCGCTCCCACTGTCCACGTTTCGCACCCGTACAACGCCGTGCTCCAAACATACACCTTTAACAACCGTTCGCGAGCATAGAAGTGACTTCTTTTTATTAAAGGCGACACAACCCTGTGCTATCCTCTGCTTTATATTCCTACTACTCCTTGCATCCTCACTTATCTGACTCCCTAGGTATCTAAAATCAGCCACTTCTTCTAATTATTCGTTTCCTATTTTTATATTCGCTGTTTCCCTACTTTTACTTTTGTTTATTTTCATATAGTACTGATCTATCAGTACCGCTTCCATTTTATAAATTTAATAAATTTATAATGAGCTGTAAGAAGCTCGGGGAAAAATATCTCATACAGCAAAAAGTCACCCAAAAAACTAAAAGTTCACTCCAACTCACGGACACGTGTCAAGAAGTAAAAGTCAAAAACGAAAATTTCTTCCAAACGCACAATTCGTAATTAAAGAAAACAAGCACATACAATGAATATCCTTAATGAGAACTGTAGCAACAAAAAGCGACAAATGAAATATTTTTTAGCGTTAATTCAATGTATTAGTAAATTAATTTTTGAATTAATTTTATCCACTGCAGATAACCTTCAATTAATGAAGAAAAAATTGTTCCTACTGTCACTCTCAGGAATCGAACCTGTACCCCTAGTGCGCAAAACGTTACCAAATAAATCTTATACTATGTTCCATTTAAATTAATGTTTTCGGCTTAACTTCAATCAACAACGCAATTCATTATGGAAGTCGTTCGAAGAGTATGCGAAATAATTTCCGACATCAGTCTAGAAAATAGTTTTACTCCTACGTTTTCTTGAAAATAAGTTACGAAACTCCTACAATGAATGCACCGTATGGTGCTTTCACAGGAGAGGAGATTGAAATGCGCACGGGAGACGTACTAGTACAGACGCAATTTCCACCGCCCGATTATTAACTCGTAATAGCATTAAAGGCTGAGGAATAGCTGGACTGAAAATAATAAATTAAGCGAAATGTTACAAGCGACGACATGACGGTTTCCTATTCCAATGACGCCGCGTTCGCAAATTAATTTACCGGTGGAATAGACGCAGTCGTCGTAGTACGAAATCGCTTTGCAAAAATTAAGATTGCAGTTTGCTAGTGGAAGTGAACAGATGCTTAAAGTCTTTGTACCTTGAAAAGAACTTTGACTAGAAGAATGAAAAGGCAAATGGGGTGTATTTTTGGAACGCCATGGTAAAAAATGTACGTGCTACGTACCAAATTTTACATGTACAAGGTCTGTTCAAAAAATATCGCGAATTTTATAATCATTCATGAATACCTATTGTGTCTCTCAACCAGTGGCGAATTATCCATAAGGCAAAGTAGGCATATGCCTAGGGGCGCAAAGTTAACAAGGGGCGCGCGCGGAAGTTTTTAAACCTAAAAAAAAATATGGAAATACCTAATAAAAAAAAAGTATTTTGCAAAATATATGGCCGCTAGAGGGGCGTCTATGAGATGCTAGTCTAGAGCGCTCTCGACATTTAATCCGCTTCTGCCCCCAACGATGTATGAGCAGGGGCTTCATCATGGTGCAAAAGCCAATTTTTGTTCTTTCACAAATCGGGCGTTTCTGGCGGATTGCTTCACGCAAATTGCACATAACATGCAGGTAATATTCCTTATTGACCGTTCTACCCTATGACAAGAACTCATGATGCACCACGCCCTGCCATCGAAGAAAACTGTAAACAAAACCTTCACATTCGACCTAACTTGGCGTGCTTTTTTCGGTCTTGGCTCGTGCGACAGCTTTCATTGGAATGATTGAGCTTTGATTTTCACATCATAACCATAAATCCATGATTCGTCACCAATTATAACCCTCTGGAGCAAATTTTCGTCCAACAGCTCCTTAGCAATGTTAATGTGATGCTGTTTTTGGTCGAAATTTTGGTACGACTAGTCTCATGCCCAAATCATTGGTAAAAATCGAATGGCAGGAGCCAATCAATATATTTAGGTCC